ACTCCATCTGCTACTCCTCGGCCCACTGGCCCATCTGATCAAGATCTCGTTGTACTCTGAGGAAACCTTCTTCGCTGTCAACTACACCTCCAGCTTTGGTGTCATCTGCAAACTTACTAACTATATTTCCTATGTTCACATCCAAATCATTTATATATATTATTCTTCATTAGTGTTTTGGAAAAGTATTTTCCAATTCAATCTGAAATATCCAGTTTTTGTTTTATTTGTCCTAGTCTGAGCTGTTTCACACTTCACATGATCAGCTACATTCTCCCTCTGGGTTTGGATAGATTATGACTTAAATTTGGCAGAAGTATCTGCCCAAGGAGGAAATATGAAGAAATGAAGATGGGTAGGGAGAGAAAAGTAAAATAAAAATATTGCTCTTATAAAGCTTCAAACTTCTCAAAGCACTTTACAGCCAATGAATTACTGTCTGAAGTGTAATCACTGCTGTAGTGTAGAAAACACGGCCACATCAATATGTGCTTATCAAGCTCCCACAAACAACGATATAACTGTTTTTTTGTGATGTCGATTGTGTGACGATGCTGTCACTTCAAAAGGTTATTTTGTCCTTGGCTTTTTTTTGAAGAGAAGTTGTAAAGGCAGAGGCACAAAGCGGTCTACCAGAACCACTACAGTAAACAATGTATGAGGCCTTTTGGTTTTGTTTTAAACAGGTAGAACAATGGAAACAGCTTGAGTGGATGTGGCCACCTCTCACTGACGAGGTTTTTTGGTTTTATTTAGCTGTAGCAGACAGAAGCTGGTTGGGGTCTCAGAAGAGTTGAATGCTTCGATGAACGTTTCTTAGCTACTACTTTCTCTGAAATTTCTCTATGTTTTTTCCTCCTGGATTGGAGGACTGCATGTAAGAATCTGTGTCTGAATTTGCCTTTTTGCCAAGGGGTGTGTTTATGGGATACTACTATATTGAAACAGTTAATTAGTAATAGGTAATGCATCTATTATTTGGTTAAATTTTCCAATAGTTGAGTTGTTCTCAATTCCTGTTTCTTTTGTTTGTATGTCAACCATAGTGTTTAAATAAATTGTTTTGCTTAATGTTGAGTAGTTTGACCAGTCGTATTGCATCTAGAACAAGCACTTCACATCTACCTCTAAAATAAAAAAAAGTTAGTCTGGGCTACCTTCTAAAAATGTTTTGAGGGGTCTGGTCTGGTCCATAAAAATTGAGAGATAAATATTGGTCAGAAAAACATGGATACCTCCTTGTTCTTCTTTAAAATGGTACCATTGGTTGCTTTTACATTCACCAGAGGAGGTAGATGGGGCCTTGATTTAAAGTCTTATCTAAAGGACACCACCAATAAACAGTGCAGTGCTTCTCAATACTGGAGTTTGTTGTATATAGATCCGAAGGAGTTAATACTAACGAAAAGCAGAAGCATCACTTAGTCATATGGACTAGTGTGGAACAGTGCAGGATCTTAAAGGAGTGATACTTAAAATCTGGTCCTCCTCAGTCTCTGTAACAATGTCCATCATATCAATGTAACCTGTAAGTAAGTACGAACATACAATAAACCATATCTTGTTAACCACAAGAGACTCTGCTTGTTAGAGCAGTAAGTGGTTTTCCTCTACTAAAACAGGCCAATCAGGCCCTAGTATTTGCTAGAATATAAGAGAATGCTGGCAACCTCTATCACCTTCAATTGAAGGAGCAAGGATTTTTTGCTGGAATTGCACAGGACCTTAATCAGACAACACCTTTTTTAAAAATTCATTCGTGGGATGTTGATGTTACTGGCTGGGTCAGCAGTTAACCACATTGCTGTGTGTCTGGAGTCATATATTGGCCAAACCTCATGAGGATGGCAGATTCTTTCAATAAAGGACATTAGTGAACCAGGTGGGTTTTTCCAACAATTGACAATAGTTAGAATGAGACTACTCATAATTCCAGAATTTTATTGTATTCAAAATGCATCCTCTGCCATGGTAAGGGTCAAACTTGGTTGCCAAAAATATTATCTGGGTCTCTGGACAAAACACTAGGCCCTCACCAGCCCTTATTCCTGGAGTATTATGTGAAGTTTCAACTGCTTAACTGAGGGTAGATGTTGTGGCTATGAAGGAAGTACAATGAAGGATTACCAGACAGATTCCTGGGAAAGCAGAAATGATATATGAAGAGACACTGGATCAGTTAGAACAATATTCACTCAAATTTAGAAGAATCTAGGGGATCTCACAGAAACATATAAAATTCTAACAGATTTGGACAGGGTATATGCAGGTAGGATTTTCCCAATGAAGGGCTTAGGAAGGGCTTAGATATAGTTCTTAGGGCAAAAAAGATCAAAGGGTATGGGGAGAAATCAGGAACAAGGTACTGACTAGCCATGATCAGATTAAATGGCGGACCAGGCTTAAAGGGCCAAATGGCCTGCTACTGTTGTCTATGTTTCTACCAGAGGCAGCTTGTATGGAAAGATGTGCTGCCAATGCATATTTAACCTAGCCTTTGCACTCCAGCTATGGAATGGGTGTTGAATCGGCAACCTTATATTTCAGAGGCAAGAGTGCTATGAACTGACCAGCTGCTGGCACATAATATTAGTAATATTCTTGACTGCTGTAAAGATTCCAAACCAGGCAGTCCTCAGGAGACAGAAAAGAATCAACAAGCAAACAAAAGTTGCCGTCATTGTACAAAGTCAGATTCACATAACCTCTTGCATACTTGTTGGCTCTAATAGCAACAGATTAAAATCAGGGTTGTAGAAATGCTAATGATGAGGTGATCAGAAACCAAAATTAGAACAAGAACTCTATAAATACCTCACACAATTAATTTCTTCGTCTAAAGAGATATGTGGCAACAGACAGCTTCAGCAAATGGGAGTTGAATAATTATCAACTTGATATGAAAGCAGGCTAGAGTGGAAATAAGAAAAAACCTCAATGATGTGCAGCATGGTTGCAGTGGATTTGAAGCCAAACAAATGTTTGAAAATAATGTGATCATACTGGACACTACTGATTCCTACTCAAAGTTTAAAATCAGCAACTGTGTTTCAAATCATTCCACCTCTCGGACAAGCCTAAATTTGGACAGTGGAGTGCTTAGGCTAGCGTGAAAAGTTCATAATATTCAGGGAAAAGGACTAACAGGATTACACATCAGGCAGAATCAGGACAACACCATGTGAACCTTGAAATTTATTTTATAAAATTAAACTATGCAGGCTTCAACAGTGGTAGAGATCTGTAAATACTTTTATAATTATAAGTAAATATCTCATAGGACAATTTTAAGCTTGTTACAATTACTTATAATTGTATTTTCTGATGCGGGTGGTTGAAGTTGCTGTCAAAAGGATGCAGTTTTTTTTCAATCTTTTGCTGTATACCTGGCTCCAGTTCTTGGTATCATATAACTTAATATGTGGTAGTTAAATAGAAGAATGGGAGGAATATCTGGTTAGTTAGAATATTTGAGGCTCTGCTCTCTTGCAACACGTTTTACTTGCTATTTTTGTACAGCATAGCTTGTACATTGTATCCTAACTTTCAGAATTGTTCCGGTAACATTTGGATGAACTTGCCTAACAAAGCATGACTGGCGAGAATGTTTGCCTGAGCTGAAAAAGTAAGCAGAAGCGACATTAGCTAAAGTATTTATGATGTACAGTGTGTGATTCATATATCTATTTGAAATCATTTTCTGCAGAAGGGTCCCGACCTGAAACGTCAACTTTCCTACTCCTCTGATGCTGCCTGGCCTGCTGTGTTCCTCCATCTCCACACTTTGTTATTCCCAATTTAAGGTTTCTTGTTATAATGGAGCATTGAGTTGAGTTTAGATAAAATCAATGGATGGAAAGATCAGACAGGTATGTAGATATCTTTAATCAACCTGTTTAGTCATGTTGGGTCACATGGCTAGGCAGGTGGGATTTGAACTTCAAACTTCTTGCTCAGAGGTAGGGGCACTACCACCGTACCACAAGACCTTCTTCTTACAGGTATGTATACCAATCTACCTAATTTTCATGCATTGGGTTCATTAGGCTAGGTAAATCTCCCTATACTTTCTAAGGAGAATAATATCAATATGGTATTCACTCTCCATCTCTACCATTACCTTTCCTCTAATCCAACAGCTGCAAAGGAATCAGCAGATTCATGCAGTATTTGACCTTCCCAAGGATTCCTTTCATCAACATTATATTGATTCAGCTACTCTCTCAAGAAATGAATCAATTCCAGCTTTGATTCTTTCTTGAGGAATTTATTGCATTTTTCATTAAATTTCTTTATAATCTTATCATTGAAGTGTCAACACTTTAAGAGATTATTCTCCAATTCTATGTATGCAATCTATGTTCATTAGCTGACTTGTATGTAACCCAAGTGAAAGTAAAGGAGTAGTGATATAATTCCAAAATCTGGATGCTGTGTGAGTTAGAAGGGAAACTTACAATTGATGGCTTTCCCACACATTTGTTGTCCTTGTTCTTTTAGGCAGTGCAGATTATAGGTTTAAAAGGTAGCACTGAAGTAGCTTTGTTGGCTTATTGCAATGCATGTTTTAGATTTACTCAAAGCAAAACTACCGTCATTTATGCAGTGCAACATGATGGTGGAAAACTGAGGCATGAGTGGCACCTAAATGTGACGTGCTTCTCAACACTCTCTAATACTGAAGGGCATATTCCTACAATGTCCATTATCATCTCTAGGTAACAGGTAACCATAATACTGACTCCTTCTGTCATCATAGTCCATAAAATGTTTTTTATCAAGCAAGATGAAGCAGTCTTTGATTGTTTGGTTTTATCTATTTGTATCACTTCCTACTGCCACTGCATGGCATATATTGAAGCTATTATGGACTACTCAACATGGCCCATACGCTCTAATAGCTCCCGCAAATCTCTACTGTCAGTAACATGCAACAACCTAGCAGGGATCTGCAGCATGTAATTCAACCTTGCATGTTCAAAACACTTATTAAACCCCACCTCCAACATCAGCACCCTGTCCTTCACTGTGTGCTTCTTTCTCCACATCACTATACAATTGTTGCATTGTGTATGTATCTGTCCTGATGCTTGCTTCTTGTTGGCGCCCTGATGACTGATGTCCTTCAGATGCATGCTGTTGACCAGTCAGTTCTTCTTGCTCTGTGAAGAGGGCAAACAAGATATTTTAGATATATGATTACAGGAAGAAATTTTGGTATCACGTTAGTGCAATACATACCAGCGCACCATCAAGTTGATCAGGGACAATGTCTCCTCTTCTTATTTTCTCAATTCTTCATTCCTACTACATTCACTTTTTCCCATTGACAGCCTTGCGGAACTTGAACAAAGTGAAAGTCTTGCCACAGGTCAGAATCCATTAAAGGGATGATATAATATAGGCATTTCAAAGCCTGTCCAGATGGCTGGTCATTATTGATTTTTAAGCTAGAGAGGTTCTGTCATGAGGGGCATGAAGATTGGAAATTTCTAGAACTCCACAACACTAAAGGGGCCTCACATTTGACTGACTTATTGGAAAAGCACAGGTGTTTTGTCCACAAGTACTTTGCCCATAATTTTGTTTCTCCAATGTCCATACAAGGAGGAAACCTTTGAGCAATTAATGCATAATTTTCTAAGATGTTGTATGGGAGGCCTAACCAGCAATGGGAAGTCTTGTAAAGCTCCACCCATAGATATTTATGACTGAAAATAAGTAACTGAAGGTAATGAACATGAAGCAGCAATTTTATTATAGTCGGTTCTGCTATAATGCGTGTTCTGGCAACGCAAGTTGGCTATGTAGGGGTGACCTGTACCTTGCTATGTAGGGTGACTTGTACCTGAACACACTAAACAGCCCATGCTTACTTACAAGATGGCAGGCAGAAGCTAAGCAACACCAAATAGCCTACTCACACAGTGAAATACAATGGTACCTATGAACAGAACTGCTAGCAGGTCAACAAAACAATGCTGTACATTCCCATCCAAGACAGTTCTGATAAAAGGATGCCTTAGGACAGATAAATAACCAATTCCAGCTTTATTAATGAAAGGATGATTGTCCCAGTAAATGAATAACGTCGGGTGCTAGATTAGGTCCTCAAGCAGCTGCAAGGAAAACAGCTAAAGTTACTTCGTAGTAAATAGTTGCCCCTTTGAATCTACCAGCAATATTAAATAGCTTCTAGCTAAAAATGCTCTAATCATAGAAGTTGGCTTCAATACATAACCAGGAAACAATACAAGCCTTAAAAAAAACATGTAAGCTTAGATATAAAGATTAACTAGCTTCAGAAGATACCTTCTCATATGCCCTGAGCAAGATAGATTGATCACAACCCATAAATTACAAAATGCCAACAGTAGGAGTAGTTGTGTAACGTTACACTTATAATTAACTTTATAATAGAAGTTAACCTTATACCAATTAGTTAAAACTAACTGACTTTTTATTTTTCCATTATGTATTTCGGACAGTGGGAAAATAAAAGGAGTAACTGAATGTGACACAAGACAGCACCAAAATACAACGGGTAATAGAATTTGAGCTGTCCTTACAGAGAAACAAGCCTGAGAAAATCCCGAAGAAGTACAGCCACTAAACTTTTGGAATGCAAATTAATAAGATGCATGGGAAGATCCCAAGGCCTAGAGATCACAATGCCTAGCTAATACCATAAGATCATGGGAACCTGGGGCTATCCATGGAAGTGCCCATCACTGATTAGGTGTCCCACAGGATTGGGTGTTTGAATTAAGGAGAAAGACGATGACTATGTTGTATTTGATTATTGTAACACAAAATGTATAAAAATGCTGCATTTCTTTGTAAAAGCACAGGGTGTGACATTGATCTATCTTCTGAAACCAGATACGGGGAAGATCCTTTCACCTTCCCCCTGCATAAGCCGGTTTCTGCTTGAATAAGCATCTCCCACTTGCCTGAATCCTGCGTGCCTCCGAAGTCTTTGTCCCGGGTCGGGAAAAATGCTCCTACAGCCATAACGCGACTGATAAACAGGGGAATGCTATTTCTAAAACACAAAATTGTGTTGGCTATAACACGATTCCATCAGTGCACGGAGAAGTATGCGTTGACATCACATGATCATTTTGCAGGCTTTGTCCTGAGCATGCGCAATGTTAGCACCAAAAGAGTCTCCATGCTGGCATCACGTGATCATTTCACAGACTTTGTCGTGAAACACCTTCTGTGAGAGGTACTCTGTGATTTTCATTTTGTTTTGCAAATTCTGCCATGTTACCCACAAAAATGCAAGGATAAAGTGATAAGAATGTTAGCAAGAAGCATCCTGGTGATAAAATTGCCGGTGGTGAATGTAAAAGAAAGGCTATAACTCTGGAAGAAAAGCTAGGATGTTATAAAGCGTTTTGAGTGTAATGATAGAACATGCAATATAGTTCATGTAACAGGAATAAAGCAGTCTACCTTACGCACCATTAGAGACAACGCAGAAAAGATTAAAGCAAGCTGTATTGCTGGAACAAGTCTGAGAGCTAGTAAATCTGAGAGGTCGTGGAGAAAGGAACTTGAGGAAATGGAGTGGTTTCTAAGTGTGTGGATAGAAGATCAAACACAAAAGTGATCTGGGACCACCTTTTTCAGTATAAAAGAGAAAGCCTTATCAATTTATGAAGATCTAACAAAAAAAATTGAAAATCCAGCAGATGTGCCTGTCCTTTAGTGCTAGCAATGGCTGGTTTGCTGATTTTTAAGAACCACTACACTTTTCATAATGTAAAGTTACATGACGAAGCTGCCAGTGCAGACAAAGTAAACAAAATTAATTGACGAAGAAGGCTACAACTCAAATCAAATTTTCAATTTGGATGAGACAGGTTTACACTGGAAGCGAATGCCATCAAGAACTTCAAAACAACAGAACAACAACAAAACCTCCTCCCCCATCAAATCATCTTGACATTTTTTCAGGGTAAATTGTTAAATTTACTTTTATTTCATTATTAGATATGAAATAAACATTTATTCGAACTGTGCTATCCTTTGTATTAGGCTTTTGAGAGATTTTTGAGCAATCTTGAGTGATATTTTTGGTGGTCTGCCTCTGACCCCGCTTTACCCATAGACCCTGTTATTTCTATCGCACAATTTTCTATAACGCGATGCTGCACAGGAACACAATTATCATGTTATAGCAGAACCAACTGTATATAGTGAATATAGTGAGAATGTGTTTTTTCTTTTGGAGAAGAAAATAACTAAAAAGGCCATCAATATAAGATGGTCAGTAAGAGATCTAACAGGGAATTCAGAAGAAAGTCTTTACCAGAAGTTTCAGAATGTGGAATTTGCTACAACAGGTAGTTGTTGAAACAGATATTATGGATTCATTTAAGGTCAAACTAGACAAACATATAAAACACAAAGGGAATAGATGGCAATGATGCTGGAGATAACACAGTGCGGAGCTGAAGGAACACACAGGCACGCAGCAGGAAAGTTGATGTTTTGGGTCAGGCCTGGCCTGCTGTGTTCCTCCAGCTCCACACTGTGTTATCTCTGACACCAGCATCCGGAGTTCTTACTATCTCGCAACGATGGTGCAGTTAGGGGAGAACATGTGGAAGAAAGTTTTGAGTTGAAAAAAACACTTGCGCAGACTGGATTAGTCAAATAGACTTTCTGTTTCATACATCTTACAAAGAGCACAACAAAAATATTTTACTTTTAATGCATCTCATGTCCTTCATTCATTTCTACACCTTTTCATAACTGTTTCACTTATTTCTCTAAACTTGACTATACCAGCACACACTGTATTGGATTAAAACACTTGTTTTACTTGCAGTAACCTCTATATTAGATGTGATCATTTCATCCTAGCATCAATCTGATTATTCACCTGAAACTTCATTCAATTTGTGAATGCTACCCTTTTCAAGTAAAAATAGGGATAACTTTACAAAAGGTGTTATGATGAGACTTGGAAAGTGCCTCCAATATCTTTATTTAGACAATCTCAGTAATGACAACCATGAAACCATTGTCATAAAATCTCACCTGGTTCATTAATATCCTTTAGGGAAGAATATCTGGCTGTTCATACCTGGTCGGGGTTATATCTGACCCATACCCAATATGATTTAATCTTGTGAAACTGGCTGCTGTTGAAAAATTAGCAGCACTGTCATGAAGCAAATGGTTGCAGTAATGTAGTTATACTTTGTGCAATAATGTTTACAATTCTATACACCTCACTTTAACTTTGTGATGTTCATCCACAATGTGAAGTCTGACATATTTAGCAAGAACCAGAATGCCCTGGAAGTCATTAATCCAGGAAACACATTGATCTGAAAGACAAGCATCTTGCTCAGATCAAGCAAACTATACAAGAAGATACTCTTTGATTCTCAGTTCTGGAAACAATTTAGCAGCATAAATGAAACCATGTGGACCACCTGGCATCAACTCAGGTAGAGAAAGTGGCAATGGCACACCAAGCCTTATTGGCTCTGCCAAGTTGTCATTCTTTTCATTTGGAGGATTGTGCCAAAGTTGGGAAATAGTCACTCTGACAAGTCAAACAATAGCCTGCCATGGGTTATACTCAAACTCATATCTTATGGAAATTACACATATCATGCACGGTGGCTTAGTGGTTAGCACTGCTGCCTCACAGTAGTGGGGACCAAGTTCAATTCCAGCCTTGGGTAACTGTGTGTATGGAGTTTGCACATTTTTTCCGTGTCTGTGTGGGTTTCTGCCAGGTGCTCTGGTTTCTTCCCACAGTGCAGGTTAAGTGGATGAGTCATTGTAAATTGCCTCGCAAGATCCAGGGACATGCAAGCTAGGTGGATAAGGCATGTTTACCATGGTGGGGGGGGAGCAGGGAGTGGCTCTGGGATGCTCTTCAGAGGGTCAGTGCAGACTCACATGGGCCAAATGGCCTCTTTCTGCACTGTAGGGATTCTATAATTCTCTGCATGTGTTCCAGACACCACCATAACAATCCCTAGGTATGTCCTGTTGCACTTTGCAGGGGGTGGGGGGAACATTAATGTCCACTACCAAGGATGGCTCATTATCCCCGCAGTGACTGAGTTGCATGAATGTTAAAGAATAATAATTGTTGGGATGTGGCATTTGCTTTTTGTCAATGGGATGG